AAATAAATCCTGGAACTTAGCCTGGTCTGGAGCAGGCTAGCTCCACAGAATAAATCTCCATGGTAATTTATACCATAACATCCTGCCGCCATCTAATCCAGCTTTAGTGCAACCGGATCACGGATAAATTGAGCTAGGATCACCAAGATATCCCGGCTTAATCCCTTATCCTAGTTTTGTGCAATAGGCCCCAGGAGTGAGTCCCAATGTCCGCAGCCCGGTCCTCTTTGCATCATCTCTATCATTGACTGTGTACACTCCTAAGCTCGACACCCGGTCCCTGTATTATTCAACTGTTCATTTCTTGTCACTTATACATCACTGTAAATAAACTACATTGTCTGCACCGAAGTCAGCCACCTGGGTCCGTCTATTTTTGTGACTTGCTCACTGTTGTGTTCGAGCAGTCCTAACAGCTGCCTGCACACCTACCCAGAGTTGCTGAGTGAGTCGTAGAACTCTCCTCAACAGGCCCAGCTACCACCAGTTGGCAATGAAGAGGATCTAGGACAAAGTCCACTCCAGATTATTCCAGCACTCCAACAGGACCAGAACCAAACTTTACTAAGGTACCTGTATGAGGGCCACTATGCTAACCCCTGGACAAAGGTTTAATGCTTAACCTCTCATGCTAAGGTGGCATATTTGAAACATATTAAAGCTCCCAACACTGCTTGAGGTTGTATGACTGAGATATTCACTCAGTAATTGACTACCATGAACCTGTGAACAGTGTTCCCTGCAGACCTCCCTCTTTCATGTTATCAATTCAGCATAAGACCCCAAAACCTCCCAAATAACAACCTGCAGTTTATTGTGGCAGCTGCCCCCTTAAACCCCTCAGATGTTACAGTACTGAGAAATCTTTATAAGCCAGTCTGGTTCTTTGAGGAAGTGTTAAATTTTGTCTGAAATAACCAATGAAAGCTGTGTCACTGGACACCTAAGACCATATTTGTCTTGCACAGTATTTAGTTGGCATAAGATTTTATTAAGGATAGGATATTTAAAGAATAGTGTATATTATGTAAAAAGTAAATAACTGGATGTTTTAAATAAAATCCTGTTCTAATATAACTTTCTAAACACCGCCTCCCTTCGGACAGCCAGCCGGTTTGTATGGCATGACACCCGAGCAACAAGCCCAATCAGAAAAGTGCTCCTTGTGTTGTCACCGTGAGGTATCCAGTCAGGCAGCTTGTTAACACCGCTGGGTTGCCACTGCCTGTTTTAACTTTCTAAGACACTGTTGAGAATGTTGGCATACTGAGAAATGTGTCTTAACCATTACCACTTAAAAGTGGTAAAATCATAGGAATGTCAATAACATCAAACTTGACTCAATAACCACAGAGAGTATTAAACCTTTTCAGGAATTTTATATAGAAGCTTAACAGAGCTACAGCAAAGCAACAAGCAATAAAATATAAACCTTAAAATCATCAATAATTGGCTTCCAATCTAAATAAATCAACAACTACTAATTCTAAATTTAAAATGATCATACTGATTAAAATCATTATGGTTAAGCTAAGCTCTTGATCTGAATAAAAGTCAAACGTCCATGTCACTGATCCTCAGCTGGCTCCGGGCGATTGGGGCAATCACTTGTTCCTCTTTTTCCTTTTTGCAATGATTCAAGCTTTCACAAGGGAAAAGAATTTACAAACATATCAGAGCTCATCCAGTTCAGTCCTCAAAACTCTGAAAGAGAGAAATAGGACAAATTCAGATAAACAATGATTTTCTTGGTCAAATCTTGTGTGATTAAGGAAAGCATAAAAGACAGAAAAATGTCTATAAACAGTCTCCTTTTGGTCCAAATCTTCATAAAGACATGAAAATGCCTAAAACTGTCTTTTTTGCAAGACATCCTTTCCCCACCAGGCCAGGTGGATTTTGCCTTTTTGTTCAAATTCATGATTTCTTCATTAATCAGCTTTGAAGCACGAACTCAGTTTCTCTGCTGAACTGTGAGGCTCTGCCACAGTTTCATCATCCCATGTCGGCATGCTTCCTCCTGCTCTGACAGGCCGAACACCTGTCCAAGCACCCAGAAAAGGGGCTCAGTCCCTTGTTGGCATGTTTCTTCCTCTCGATGCCTGAGGGGGAGCACCCCTAGAGGGGTGCCCTCTCCCCGGACTGCCTCTCCGCAGTCCTCGGTCTCCTGGAAGTCAGATGGTCAACCGGACAGAGCCTCCGGCCGCAGCCATGAAAAGACTGACCAGAACCCAATAAAAACCGAGGCAAAAAGAGGAACGGACAGTGATTTTTGTCCTCTCATCCAACCAGATGCCGCAGTTTGCAGTTGATACCTTATTTGGTGTGCAGAATCATATTGTTCTGAAGTATTGCATATTTTTTACTGTCAGTCCAAGCCCACTGCCCGTAACCGGCCTCCGCCCCACTGTGATCCAGCCTTGGATTCTACTTCTTCTTTTCTAGAAAACCAAACCATCTGAATACATAACAAAAATACAAGAAACTCACACTCCCTCTCACTGAAATAAAAAGCAATGATGGAATTTTGATAACAGAACAATCAGAATTACACACTGATTTCACACAAAACTATATCAATTTCTTAAAATAAAACATAAATCTTTATATTTTGAATACTTTACTTTGACTAAACATGGATTATCATTGATTAGACATTGATCAAACAATTATCAGTCAAATCTTTACTTTTGTGCTTAAACATCATTTTTGTTACTTCCTCAGTATAGTGTGTGTCTCTGCTCTGTGTCACATACACACACTCCTGCAGTTCCTCATTTTAGGGATGTGTGTCTGCTTCCTCTTGTGTGATTCTATACTTTTCACTCTGTTAGATGTAAAATCACTTTTTCCCATCCTTTCAATACAACCATTTCACATTTTATTTAATACATTCACTGATTATTTCAAACAAAACACACATAAATCATTTTATGATTATCTTTACTTACTAAAAGCTTCACCTTTCTTAGCATTCTGCCACAGCATTTTAATAATAATTCCTTTGCCCTTTCCAACCTCCCCTGGAACTTCCTCTTTCTCCTCTGCCTTCTCTGTATCTCGGTGCTCTTTGAGGCCCGTATGTACAGCCTTGCTACATACTGTGCAATCCATCATCTCCCAGTTAACTTGGATCCAACAGGCAAGACCTAATCTATTTACTGAAATTCTGGCTGGTGTCATATAAGCTGTACAGTAAACTAAGCGGAATCCCATTATCTAATCATTCAAAACTCTCCTCATTATAGTTAATAACTCCCTTATCATAGATCAGAAATTGTACTTCTATCTCACTATAACAATTAAGATAAACTCACAAGGTTAATTAGTCAAGCTGGCCAATAGTTAATCAGCTGTTTTCATTCCTCATTCTATTGTATCATCACTTTCCATTTGAACTGCAGTATCCATTTCATGTATTGTTCAATATTTAGTTTAATAAATCCCATAAAACCCAGTTCTCCTTTGTTGTTCTTGTTGTAAGATGATGAAGTCACTGTTTTAGAACTCTCTTCAGGCTTAAGGTTGGTAATTTGAATGTAATTATGAATAACTGCCTAGAATAAAACATAAATTCTGGTCAGTCAGCTCTAAAGCAGATCCGCTACAGTATAAACAGCATTTTCAGCATTTTACTGTTGTAAAGTTGGAGCTGGCTTTAATTATACTGTTGGGCAGTGTAATCTATAGGAGTGCATCATATTTTATCATCTCATCATTTCTATGTATGTATGCAAGATGTTAATATGTGTAAAAATATTACTTAATTTGTCAAATTAAACTAGTGGAGTGAAAAGTA